ATTCCAATTGCAAATGAAAAGTTTTTATCTAATGTCACTTTCTGATAAAACATTAATAAATTCATCAATATCTTGGTGAATATGTGACTTGTTGGAGCTGGTTGACCATACATGTTCAATAGAAAAAAATTACACCAGTATTTCTCATTAATATACAGGGTAAAAATGACAAAAACAGAATTGAAGAAATTATTTTTCTAATTACATAAGACCATGAAAAGGTAATTCTTTAGAAAGGTTTTTCTTAAGATATGCACTTCAATAAATTGTAAACATACTACTTTCAAATTACGTAACTTTTGCCTTCAGCGTATACTTTGTCGCCTTTTTGAAATGTTCAATGATGTACAGGACACATGAATTAGGATTATAGTATTAGGAAATAGATTCCGATTCTGTCCTTTTAGATCAAAGTTTAAATGAATGATATTTAGGACTAATAACTAGTCTAGACAAACGTAACATGCCTTGTTTTACATTCTTGAAATTGAATAATGAATTAATGGAATGGTGGACTTTTTTAGATTTGGAAAACTTTTGATTTGAGCTATCTTAGCTATGTATTTTGAGATACTGTGGATTATTATGGCATCTTGAAAGGATATTTTCATTGCACTTATACAATTATTGTTATACTTTTATGTGCTTTGAAGATCAAATTCTCTGACTTGCATCAGAATTAAATCAAGACGTCATAGGATTTATATGAACACTATTTAACTAGTCACAAATTTGGCATCTAGATAACAGTACGACTACCACAGTGTGTTTCTTCTGTTGTTACTCTGCATTCAATAATCAGCTACTTCATAGATGCAAAGCACCTTTCAGGTAAATGCAAATTCTTTCAATGTTTCTTTGTATCTTATACATGTACATGCTTTCTCAGCTGAAAGATTTATTTTCTGCATTCATGCAAAATGTTATGAAGACTAAAATTCAAGGTTTCTATGTAAGGATTCAACATAGAGGTGCCATGGGAAAATTCCTCAAATGTTTTCATACACACACACACACACACACACACACTCACACACACATACACACAGAGTACTATAAAAATATATGTATCATTTATGTTCATAATGGTATAGGTCTCTACAATAAATAATGTCTTTACATATTCTGATGTCATTCGCAATTAGCAATTTTTTTAGTGAAAATATTTTTCCAAAACAAATTGACTTCATAGAATGTTTGGCTAGCTAACATTCTGGGAGCAGCATCTGAGCATATCTGTGATGCAAGTGTAACTACAACTGTCCAGGGTCATGAAGATAGTGGATAACGGGGATCCTCACTTCCTGTTACCTCTTCTACCGCTCGGTCTCCACAAAGAACAAGATACTTGTTCTACACAAAGTACAAGAATATTTCCCATTCTTCCTATTACAATAATTTTCTATTGAACATTTATCATCACTAAAGTGAAAAATAATGTGAAAAGTTATAATGCAATTGATGGAATTTTCCACCTCTCCCATGCTACTTCCTCAGTACTTTCCTTTGCCCAGACTGTCCTTGGGAGCTCTCTTTAGGTTCCAGATTCACACTGGTGTGATATCAAGAATTGTGTCATTCCTTCTAGGGCTAACAATGGCTTCAGAAAATATCTTGGTTCTGGAATATGCCTAGTTCTTGAAAAGCACATCTTGTGAAAGTCACTAGTCCAATACCTTTTTTTTTTCTTTTTGGTTTATTCATATAGGAATCATCATAAACATCTGTGCATCTTTAGTCCTGAATTTCTCTTCCCTGAACTTCTGTATAAGCAGCAACATCAGAACATATTTCAAAAACAAGTTCTTTGTAAAACCCAGTTTCCATCAGACTCCTTACCTGAGATTCAGTAGCAAGCCATTAACCAAGATGACCTTTCTTATACCTATTCATGGATATTATGTATTGCAGTGTAAATTGGGTGTTCACAGATACAAGACACACTCAGATGGTATGTTCCGCAATGAGCCTCAAGATACCATAAATGAAGGTTGTAAATTTTTGAGTATTTAAGCAATCTTGTGTAAATAAAAAAAATATTATGATCAAAAGCAACGTTTACAAGTTTTTTCCTCCCACCTCCTCCCTTCACTGTACCAAAAGTGACGTTATCCAGAAAAGAGTCTAAGCTGTACCTACTACATCCACTTAAGGTAATGGAAGTTCTCTTCGTTTCTTAAGGCAAAACCAATCTTGTAAAGATGATGCCTGCTCTTCTTGCACATGGACCTTAATGGAAAAATGATTATGACTCCTCCGTACCGCTGGATTCTAACATGAAAACCACCAACAAGCACTTTTCGCTTCTTTACAGTCAGTTAGGAATACTGAGAGTGTACAAGCAGCAACTGGGTGGTTGTGATGTAATTTTTAAAAATCATATTTTCTGGTAAAAAACAAACAAACAAACAATAGGCTGTCTTGTAACAAAAAGCCGTCAATCACAGCCATGTTAAATTAATAAGGTTTGGGTTGATTTGCCCCTTTTTGTTAAATATCCGGACTAAGGAAATGTCCCTCCCCCACCCTTAAAAAATCGTTTATCAAGAACCAGTTCAGTCAGACTGACACCTAATGGAAACTTTTATAAGTAAATAATTCTTCAAGAGAAAGAAAGTAACTGGATTAAAAATTGAAACCACTCAATCAGGAGAAAATCAAACAGTTTGTCATAGCATGGGCAGAGGCCTTCTTTCCTTTTCCCTTCCCATTATCCCCCTCTAAAACTTATTATTCATTTATGAAGCAATTTCAATCATGAGCTGAAGTGCCAGTGCCAAAGAACTGAGTGAAATAGCTTATTTTCCAAAAAGATTTTGCTTATTCCCACAACAAGTGATGAAATATGACATTTTCTCTCTCTCCTTCCAATACCAGGCCCTCAGCTCTGTCTGTCCTTAAACCTTCCAAACTTAGCTAATCAACCACCATGAGAACAACTTTCCAGGCATAACCTAACAACTAGCCTACACCACTCCTCTCTACTTTCCTAATTTCCAGGGAAACAACGGCACACATACACATACTGAGTATTGTTAGATACATAAAAAGCACGAAATTTTAAGCCCCTAATCACCAACTGGAGAAAGAAGGTTAATTCTTGGAACAATGAAAGAAAGAACCTCGGTTACATATTTTTCTTGGTAGTGACAGAATGTTGCAGGCAGAGACAGCGTCTGTCTGCTTGCTTCCTCTTATTCTGAAAACCGGCTCATTCCCAGGAGTCTGAACAGGACCCCACCCGTTTCCCCTCTCGTCAGCATAGCTAAAGAACAAGAGTTAGGGGTCTAGACAGCCTGGGTCTCAGCCTGGGACCAGACAGTAGGAGTAGGAAGAGAGAAAGAGTGAGAAGGGGCGTGGAGAACCCTTCATTACTGATCTATTGCTGGAAGAAAGGGGAAGACCTTATGTGGGAAGGCTATTTCCGCAAGGCACCTCGCTTGCAGTCTCCCTAGGGTTCAGTTTGCTCTTGTGGGCAAGGACCCAGTAGAGAGAATGCAAGTCTTGCACCGGGAATGGCATATACTCCAGAGGGAGAAGGTGACTGGACACAACTGAGCCTAGAGTGGGTCCAGGCACGCCACGGGGGAGAGCTGCTTTCTGTTCTCCAGCAACTTCGACTTCTTAGGAATTCAATCTTCTTCGCAGCCAGTTCCTCAAACAAGATCAACCGCTGCACCCAAGGGAGGAAAACTGGTCTTAAGTCTAACCGCGCCTGCTGGAACCTTCTGGGCACCTGGATGACTTTTCTCCTCAGTATTTCTCCTCCCAAATTTGACGCGCCACCACCCAAAGAACCCTTGCAGCTTCCCAAGAGTAATAAAAGCGAGCTGCATAGTTAAAAGGTTCACTGTCAGCTAAGCTCTGTGAGACTCTGCCAGCGCCTTCCACCACGGTGGACCTCATCTTCCGGCTCCAAGGAACATCTTAAACTCCTGCTAGGTCTGCTTGCCCCAGGAGTTCCGGGGGCGTGTTGGAAGGGTCGCGCCAGCGATTGCTTTCTCTTCGCTAGGAGGGGATGCATCCACATTGCTTTATTGTCCATCAACATTAGAAACAGACCAAAAAAAATGCAAGAAGAGCGGAGGGTTTTCTCTTCCTCTCATCCCTCTCTGGCAGACCTGTTACTAGTAACATGCCTTGATTTTTGTGGATGTTTGAGACTCATCCCAAAGGCAGAGGTAGGGAAGGCAGCGCTGGAGAAGTGTCCCAAAGAAACTGGACACCTGAACAGTCACCGCCTGCCCCAACCTCTTTCAGGAAGGTTCCAGCTCCGTACCACAGTGCAACCAATCCGATTACCAGCCTGCTTCTCCACCTCTTCACGGAGAATCCGAAAAGAAAATAAGGGTTCCTGAGAAACCCACAACACTTGTAATCTGAAAGTTCCATGGGGACCCAGTCCCCTGTCCCCCGCCCCTCCTCTTGCTGGGTTGCCAAGTCTGCCGGCTGAATGGGTCAACCGGCTGCGGGTGGGGCTCCGGCTCCGCCCCAGGCCGGGAATTCGCGAAGTCACGAGCATGGACAAGCTTGCCCGGGGCACCTTCGCCCACGGACACGCCCTTTCTGCCAAGGCATGCCCCAGGCGACCCTCTTCCCTGTTCTAGCTCAACGCTCAGAGGCGTTGCTAAACCGGTCCAGGCCTTCCAATCCTTTGCAACTTTAGAGAATCTTTCAGATCCGCTCCTTGTCCCCTTGCCCTCCAGTCACATTCCAGAAAGAGAGAGAGAGAGAGAGAGAGAGAGAGAGAGAGAGAGAGAGAGAGAGAGAGAGAGAGAGAACACACCCAAAGGGACACGAACGGCCCCACAGCCCACAAGCCGGGTTTCAGAGACCCTCTTCCTTTCTCCGCCCCTCCCCTCTCCTCCGCCTGCCCCCCGCCCCCTCCCCCGGCGCGCACCCATTTTTTTCTCCCTTCTAAAAAGCAGTGTGGGTCAGCAGAGGTGTTGGGAAGACCCAGAACGAAACCACCCGAGGAAAAGAAAACATAGAAGTGCTACCTTGGCAACCGGGAGCTTTTAGTGGCCAGCTGGTGGGCTGGGAGGGGCGGCTGCTGCCCGCCTGCCGCTGGTACTCTCCTCGACTACGCGTATTCTTAAGCAATAACAACGTAATCCGTATTATCCACCCAAGAATACCCGTCACCGAAGAGAGTCAGAGGGCCAAGCTGCCGCTGCCTCTGCCGCTGCTACCGCTGTCGCTGCTGCCGCCGCCACCACCAGAAAGAACTCTTGCTGCCGAGCCCGCCCCTGGCTGGGGTTGGGCTGAGCTTGACCGGGACCATAAATCCATAACTCGATTTCCCTAAAGAAGGCTCCAAAGCTGTGCTCTGCTGCTTCCTGCCCAGATCCTCCAAATGGCTGTTCTATTTCCAATTCTGAAAGACAAATCACAGAACCAGCCACTTAACACACAAGAGACAAGTGCTTTCTTTCCACGGAGCTGGGACTAGGTGCCAGTGCTCTTTGGGGAGTGATAAGTAACATTCAGTTTACCTGGTGATCGCCCGGCACTCTCCTTAGTACTTGCTCTGCTTCCTGCCCACTCTGGTCACGGGGCTGCCCACTCTAGGTGCTTTGATTGAGTGTCATGGCAGCGAGCGAACCCTGTAGAAGACATGCATAGTTAAGCACACAAATATTACAAATGTGTTTGCCTGGACGGCTTTAGGAAGAAGTGAGACTCAGATCAAGATAAGGTCATGCATGGGCAAAATTTTCAACAGTGTGTTTTGGAAATGCATGGTCTCAAGCTTAAGAGCACAGAAAATAAACACTCATTCAATTTACTACTTATAAAATAAAATGCTTATAGAGCAGCGAAAAAAATAGGCATCTCCCCTCCGAAGGCCTTAGAGCTATATACAACATAATGGCTTTAAAGGGGAAGGTAACAGCTTCAAGGCACAAAATAATTAAACCCATTTTCCATACTATCTGAACTCACTAAGTTGACAAGCTGGTAGAGCTTTTAGGGTTTAAGCATCATTTAGGACTGCCAGGGCGTTTAATTTCTCAGCCCTCGTTTCAGGACTCACTATCAATACATCACTGTGCAGTGTTGAGAACACCTCTACAGAAATCCCTTTGAAGCTCTGTCCTCATGCACATAATTTTGAGGAGGAACTCAATAAAAAACTCATTTTCAAAGTGACTAATTTTGACATCCAGAGAAATATCCCCAGTTCCTTGATGATCTGCACGGGGCTTTTACTTGGACAGCTTTGTCTTGAGACCATGCAGTGGATATTCTTACAAATGGGGGTTTATTGTTCACTAAATAAAACAGACGAGTGGAACGCCACCACCCAAGACATGCTGCAGCTCCATTAGAAAGTTCTCAATTTGGCTCTTGCTTTACTTTCTAATACATGAAAGTACATCTATGTGAGTGTGTAGGGGAGGGATATGGAACGATGGCAACAGACATGATTTCTCAAATTATGTAAGTGCAAATAGCTCTTCATCAAAGAGTAATTATGTAACCATTCTCCCACCACCTCAACTCATATCTAGCTGACCTGGTTGTAATTTAAGACACTCAGGTTGTGCCTGCTCTCATTATTATTTGTGATATAATACTTCTCCAGGCAAGACACCTCGTCATTTTCCTGACACACATTACTTACAAGTAGAAAAACCAACATGATTTCTAGATTTTATGATTTATCTCTGTCTGAAATAACTCAAAAGCAAAATAGTACTTCCCACTGACTAGCCTATTTTTGCAGTATCTTTTTAGGTAACTCATGATTACACCATAAACCAAAAGACTCAAGCCAGTGAAACAATTAATAAATACTATTTTCTGCCATTACCCAACACAGATGTAAAATGGAGCTTTTCCCTGGTACTACAACCAGGAAAAAAAATCAAGAAAGCTGACAGGTTCCCTTTAGCCTGAACTCCTAGAAACAAAAGCCCTTAGGGAAAGTAATGCAATAGTCTATGAGCCAAGTGTGCATTTCCTCCTGAACTCTTTTATTTAAAATCTCAACTACCCCTAAAAGGAAATCAAGACACATTGTACAAATAGGATTTGATTTACTAAATGGAATGATTTTTTTTTCAATTCAGAAGGATGGTTAAGGCACACACACACACATACACATACACACACCCCACATGCACACGTTCTCCTCATTCTGTAGAATCACGGCATGAATGCCCACACAGCTTTTCAGTGCTTTCCAAGTACTTTCCCTTAGTTTATCATAATTCCGGGAAAATCACACAAACACACACACACACACACACACGCACACACACGGACACGGACACGAACGCATACACGGACGTCAGACACACGGACATACACAGAGACTCACAGACTTGCATGCTTAAAAAAAAGAAGAGAAAAGAAAAGAAAACCTAGAACAACGCAGTCGATAGGTTTTCTTCCTAGCCAGGCACCAGAGACAGCCCTTTCCCTACGTACCAAATGCTCCACACTTCAGCACCTGGACCAGTGGACAGCTCAGCCCAGGCAGACAGCCCGCAGCACTTCCAACAGAACTGACGCTCCGAGCTCTAACCACAGCTCTGGTGCTTCAGCGGGGCAGCCTGACTTACGAGAACACCATTTCCTACGAGACCACTGCCGCTGGGTGCATATTCAATTCAAACCTCCTTAAGCTGTCGGATTTCCCCCACCCATCTACCCTCCCCACCCCCCTCCACCCTCCACACAAAAACGGAAAAGGGAAAAAGCCCAATACTACCAGGGCATTTGTTGATCAACTTACACTTTCCTTTTGAATATTTAGGTACCGCTATCGGAGCAATAGCAGCGGAGGCTTAGGTCCGCATTAAGTACCTTTGTTCGTCGACTCCTGCAAGCCATGTTTATTAGAATCTACAATTCTCTCTTGCCCCAGTAATTGGAGGTGTGTTTTTCGGGCAAGGGACAAGGGGTGCTTTTGGCACCTTTTGATCTCTCAAGGCCACTGCGACTATCTCAGTGTTCCCTTTCCCTGTACTTCCCCACCCTGTTCCCCATTCGCCAGCACCCATCCCAGCTAAACGCTTGGTAATTAAAAACCATATATACATAAAGAAAGCTACAAAACAATCGGTTTAGGAAATAAGGCAATTAAGCTAAGGCAGAAATTCTCTCTCTCTCTCTCTCTCTCTCTCTCTCTCTCTCTCTCTCTCTCCTCTCCCTCTCCCCCCTCCCTCTCTCCCTCCTCCCTCCCTCTCTCTCTCTCTCTCTCTCTCTCTCTCTCTCTCTCTCTCTCTCTCTCTCCTTCCCTCTCAAGTAGAAAGGGGAAAACACGAAGGAGAGAGAAAAATCGGGAAGAGGGTGGTAGTGGACTCCTACAATCAATGCCAAAACACTATACACATCGTCACCGAATAACACTCTCGATCTCAGACAAAAAGAAACCCATTTACCGATGTAAACATAGTCGCCCTCTCCCACACATCCCACATCCTTTGCGTTTGCTGAGATTTGTCTGCGGTGTCGCAGGTATAGCAAAGTAACTGTCACAAATCCGTCTAGAATGAAGTGCTTACCCTCTAAATCCAGGTTGCCGGCGGAACTCCAACTGTGTGCAGAAGCCAGGAGTCATCCGATGGGCGGCTAGGCAGGCTTGGGCAGTGGGAGACGCTGCTCTCTGAGCGCCGGGTTACAGTGTTAACAAGCCCTGGGAAGAGACCTCCTCGCCTCGCGTTGGCTGTGCCCCAGTGCCTTCGCGTGGTGGCGGCTTGCTCATGCTTCGGAGGAGTCCCAGGCGAGAGCCTTCAGCTGATGCGAGCTTCCAGAAAGGCGTGGGGAAGGGGGAAAAAATCATCTAATGCAATCAAATCGATCTGATCTACACCATCTGTCGCCTGCCACTATACACAAACGTTAAAATAGGAAAACGGAAAACACTGACAAGCCCGAGAAGGTTGGTCTGCAAAGAGTTCATTTTTAGCAAAGCATAATTGGGTATGGTCGGCTTACAGTTACAAAAGCCGCTGTTAACCATCCAGTAGTGGACCCCGAACATGCTAATGGTGGATTAATTGAGGAAGATCTGACGTGTGAGCTTCATAGTCTCTTATTCATGACTTCCCAATGGGAAAGGACCAATGCCTTGTGGGACTATGGTAACATACAGTCAAAAAGCTGCTAAGAAAATGGCTGTGTGTTCACAGCACCTCTCTCTGATAACAAACATATGTCGACTAAAACGGTTGAGTAGAATGGGAGGGGGTGTTGGAGAATAAAATTTTCTTTCCCCATGTAAGCAACCCCTATATCATTTCCTAAAAGAAAAGCAAATATAAATACCACATCTTTAACGTAGTGGGAAGAAAGGGATGCTTTTAAAGGCTTTTTTAAAATAAATAAATAAATCAAGATCAAACTCTGTAATATAAAAGAAAAGGAACACTCTTACATAGCAGTTCTTTTAAAAAAATCTATTCTTTTTTTTCTTTACTGCAATCAAATTACTTGCATAGCATGTGCTGCATATAGAAACAATCTAGTAAATACCACTAGTACTGACTCAGGCTTGTTTAGTGCCAGGGTCCCCTTTTTGACTTACTGAAATCAGGATGCCTTTAAGGTAAACATTTTGTATAATTTAAAATTGATTTGATAAACATTAAGTGTGATTTAAAGGAGAAGTTGGGGGAGAGTTTTTCCATCTGTCTGTTTGTTTTGTTTTGTTTTGTTTTAAATTCAATTCTACAATCACCCTTTCCACCCAAATACCTTTTGGTGTGTCTCCGGTCTATGCTAAACATTTAATGGGAGAGATAACGGAAGTGGGGAAAGGGTGGAGATATCAGGGAGAGGAAAAGAGTGTAGAGTACTAATAACCACCACATTCTATTCTATTTGTAACAGAAAAATATAGGGCAATGGAAGATATTATATCCTGTCAATTGTGATTTTTAAATACATACCAGTGTTCAAAATCAATGTTTTATATATAGAGAGAAAGCATACTTTAAACAGTGGGTGACTTTCTCTCGTCTATTTGCAATTTTCAGATATATTTTATGTGTATGAAACATTATTTTATTATCTATTCTAAATATGCTACATTTCTCTGAT